AGCTCCGCGTTTTGTGAAGTACCCCCCCCCCCCCCCCGCGCGTGTTTTGAACAGAATGGCGACCCTCGACAACGCCGAGGTTACTTAGCAGCTCTTCGCGAGCATTGCCGCTCTTCAGGAGGAGATGCGAGCGGACCGTGAGGCGTGGCGAAACGAGTTCGAGCGAGTAACTCGACTCGCCGGAGCGCAGCACGACTCGAGAACGGCGACGACGCAGCAGTCGCAGCAGTTTCTCGAGGCTCCGAAACCGCGCCCACCTGAGCCGTTCGATCCAAGCGATCGAAGCTCCGACGCCCGCAGATGGATCACCGGGATGGAGATCTACTTCGCAGCCATCGGATGGAGCTCGCCAGTCTGGGACGGTCAACGCGTACGACTCGCGGCGACGCTGATGCGAGGACCGGCACTCGAGTGGATTGGCGGCAACAACACTTTTATCCACGGTGAAGCTACGTGGCAGCAGTTCCGCGCCGACCTGCTGAAACGCTACGAGCCGATAAATTCCGGTTTCCTTGCCCGGGAAAAAATTCATCGACATCGACAGTTCGGGAGTGTAGCACAGTACACGCAGCAGATGGAAGAATTTTATAACCGTATTCCCGACCTGACCGAAGGGGAAAAAGTACAGTCTTACCTCGCCGGGCTGAAGACCGAAGTCAAACGACAAGTGGCAGCGGAGAGCTTCGACATGATCAACATCGGGACACGACTAACGCACGTCGGCAGTACGCAACAGGGCGACCGCTCGGCTCACACCACGTTCGCCGACCCGATGGAAATCGACAGGTTCGACGGGCGGCCACGTCCGAAAAACACCAACTACACGTGTGATTTTTGCGGGGTGCCGGGCCATCGAATCTTCGATTGCAACAAAATGAAAGCTGCACACGCAGAGTATCGGGCACGCAACAGTGGCGGAAATTCTCCGGCCAATCAGAAGACAAAAAACGGGAGTCGCCAGTGATTGCAGATCTAGCTGGCGAAAAAGAAAAGATGCGGAAGCGGCCGCGGGATCCGGGAAAAATAAACTTCGACGAAGCTAATTTGACGCGAGCAGGAGGAAATGATGGGGGAAAATCTCCACCCCACGACGAGTCTTCGCCAGAGAAAATCGCCGAGAAAAAATCGGGCTCCGCGAAAAAAGACTCTGCCGAGACGGGGAAACTCCTTGAAGACCCAAGAATTTATATGGATTCGTTAAAGCTATCCTATAAAGATGCTTTAATGAAAACTTATGATTCTCGAGGGGCTAGAGCATTGGAGAAAATTCGGGAAGGAGTCCAAAAGAAGCAGAAAGCTGTGGAGATTATACCGGTACCGGACAACTTGGGGAAAACATTAAGGAGTGTGGAAAGAAGCCGACCTTTCCACGGAGTCAACGTCCTCTCCCGACACCAGCCCACAACGACTACCCGCTCCCCAGAGAAGACCTCGGTGGAGCTGAAGCAGCTCAAGAGGAAGCAGGGGGTCTACAAGAAGCTGCAAAAACCCCGAACCCCTCCTCCGGATGCATCCAGTTCAGCAACTTCGGCATCAACGACGCGCACAGTCGTCAAGGAAACTCCGGGCCCTGGGGAAAGGCCTTTCTCCAAGCAGCCTTGGCCAGCTGCCAGCTCAAGAGTAGGAAGCAACGAATATTGGGATGTACCCTATGACCCTATCGATGAAACTATCTTTGGGTACTCCGAGCAACGCCTGCCGCTCGTGCTCGAGGTCATCTGCAAAGGACGACGCCTCCAAGCACTCGTGGACAGCGGAGCATCGCACACCGTCTGTGACAAGGCAGTAATCGACCGACTTCGGGAAGAGTACAAGCCTTCAGGATTCTCTGCAATGATGGTGGACGGCAGCAAGTTACCAGTGCACGGCGAAGCAGTGTTACACCTACAAATCGGACCACTGCGCTGGAAACCTGCACTCCCTATCACCAACATCAAAGGGCTTGACTTGATCTTCGGGCGAGACTTCCTGAAAAGATTCAACCCCGAGATCAACTGGGTGAACCGCACCGCAAGCATCTACAACAATGGAAGGAGGGTCCAACTACCCAACTGGGATGATACATGAGATATCCCAGTGGAGACGTTTGCACGATTCGAGAAGGACGTGAAGCGAACCAACACCGGGTTCCTGGCAATAGCAACAGAGGTTGAGAACGACGGAGAGAAGACCTCAGAACCTCCAAGAAAGATCAAGGAATTGCTGAAGGAGTTCCAAGACATTCTCCCTGATGATCTTCCGAATGAGCTACCGCCATACCGAACGCATCAACACAAGATCGTGGAGGAACCGGGTTCGAAACTGACCTTCCGAGCACCATACCGGCTAAGCCCCATAGAACTAGCCGACATGAAAAAGCAGATCGAGTATCTCCTCGCCAAAGGACTCATCCGACCATGCACTTCGCCATACGGTGCCCCCGTACTCTTCACGCCGAAACCGGACGGAAGCCTGCGCATGTGCATCGATTACCGAGCTCTAAAAAAGTAGACCATCAAGAATAAATATCCGATACCACGAATCGATGACCTGCTTGATCAGCTTAGGGGAGCTACGGTATTTTCCAAACTGGATCTGCGGTCCGGATACTGGCAGATACGGATGGCAGACAACTCTATCCACAAAACTGCTTTCCGAACTCGGTACGGATCATACGAGTATTTGGTCATGCCGTTCGGACTCACCAACGCACCAGCGACATTCCAAGCCGAGATGAACCACATTCTACGCCCACTTCTGGATGATTGCGTGGTGGTGTACCTTGACAACATCCTCATCTACTCGTGCGACATGAAACAGCACGTCGAACACCTGCGACGCGTCTTCAAGATTCTTCGACGGGAACGGTTCTACGTCAAACTGTCCAAGAGCAAATTCGCCCTTGAGAAGGTCCAGTTCCTAGGACACGTGGTGAGCGCTCAAGGAGTTCACGTCGACCCCAAGAAAATCGAAGCCGTACGTACGTGGAAGACACGCGAGAACGTAAAGGAGTTGCAGCAGTTCCTAGGATTCGCTATTTATTAGAACAGGTTCGTGCCACAGTATGCGAAACTCGCGGCACCATTCACGAATCTGCGGAAGAAGGACACGTCATAAAATGGGAGGCGAAACACCAGGAAGCCGTGGAGTTGCCAGCGAGTAGCCGTGGAGTAGCCAGTACTCATCTTGCCAGATCCCGAATGCGACTACGTCATCGAAGCTGACGCCAGCGACCAGGCAGTGGGAGCAGTCTTGATGCAAGACCAGGGGAATGGATTGCAACCAATCGCCTACCTGAGTAAGAAACTACACGGGGCAGAACTAAACTACCCGATACACAACAAAGACGCCCTTGCTATTGTCATCGCCTTCAAAACGTGGAGATGTTATCTCGAAGGACGATGAACAACCGTCTACACCGACCACTACAGCCTGAAATATTTGAAGACACAACCCAACCTTTCCAGGCGACAGGTCCGTTGGATTGACTTCCTCGAGACACTACGACATTGTGTACAAGCCCGGCCACAAAAACAAAGCGGACGCCCTCAGCCGGCCTGCACACGTTGCCGTCATCCAGCTTGAAGGCATGAATCCACTACTCAGGGGACTCTTCACATACGGGTAAACCATCGACCCCGAAATCCCCTTGGCAGAAAAGCGACACCTACTACAGTGGGACAGTGATATTGCGTACCGGAAAGGATCAACGAAAATCTGGGTACCAAATTACCCTCCTTTGCGCCAGTTACTACTCGAAGAATACCACGACGTCCTCTATGCCGGACACTTCAGTAGCAACAAGACGCTGACTGGTATTGCAAAGCACTACTACAGGCCCCACTTGGCAGAAGATGTTCAGAAATTTGTCACCTCATGTGATACATGTCAACGGATGAAGAGCAGCAAGCAGAAGAAGGCGGGACTACTGCAGCCTTTTCCTGTCCCAGAACAACCATGGCAAGTGGTTAGCCTGGATTTCATCACCGGATTACCGCCGACCACCAGCGGTCATGACGCAATCCTTGTCGTCATCGACAAGTTCTCCAAAATGGGACACTTCATCCCGACACACACGACAGCACGCACCGAAGAAACAGCACAACTCTTCGTTTGGTATATCATCTCACAGCATGGCATTCCAACCACACTTATCTCCGACCGAGACCCCATGTCATAGGATCGAATGTGTTGAGGAAAGATTGCACTATAGAATCACCCTGCGTATAGCCACGCGAGGCTATTGGCTTTAAGGGATTACGGCAGGATTACGCTAGATATAGCACGCCAGTGCATCCCAATCGGTGATATAATTATAATAGCAGGATAAACCAAAGGATAATGGAAAGAGGAGAATAGGAAATAAAATGAGATGGGATAAAAAGAGAAATGAAATAGGAAGGAAATAAGGAAAGGGACAAGTGGTGTAACGCAGTTCTGACGGACCTAAAGCGGGGGCGCTCGGACAGGGGAAGGACATGACTAATCGCAAGCTGTGCGACAGCGTTACGCGACAACCAGACAGCACGGGCAAGGGCAGCAGCTGCAGCAGACTCACGGTCAGCAGAGGTTGGGTTAGCGGGGAGGGGAGCAGGGGGGTCAGGGCAGGGGAGCGTACCGTCAATGTGGACGGCCAGGGAGTGGCCGTCCTGCCGCTGACTAGTCAGGTGTCGCTGGAGGTCGACGAGCCACGAGTCGAACTCAATCGGCTGCCCCTCAGCATCAAGACGCAGGACCGAGTCCGCCATCATGGTTGCAGCAGCAGGAATAAGACAGTACTGGGCAGGAGCCGCGGGGCCGCAAGGGGACAGGGCCGCGGGGCCGCGAGGTGACGGGGCCACGGGGCCGCTAGGGGACAGGGCTGCGGGGCCGCTAGGTGACGGGGCGGCGGGGCCGCTAGGGGACGGGGTGGTGGGGCTACAAGGCGTCTAGGACCTAGGGCGGAAGTGCTAGGGGGGGGGGGGACCTACCTACTCATGACACCATGTTCAAGTGAAAGAATGTCTAGAACAAGGCTTACAAGGGAATATAACATAATGAGTTGAACTCCCGAAGGCACAACCCTATATAGTCTACAGGAACATACAAAACATGTTTGACAGAGTACCAGGGTGGGTCACACACAACTCAGACGACTCTCATGTCCCATTACCCTGATTTCGCATTGTTCCCCCAAGGCATTGTTCCCCCAAGGCATTGTGATGTGAACCCTAAATCCTGATTCATACCACACAACACAACCCAGGCGCTGTTCCCATGGCATATGTGGCAAGGCATGTCACACTGCTGCCAGCCATCCCCTCCCCCTAGCGGGTGCTCTGGCCTTGAGCTCAAAGCGCCAAGAGTCCAGTGTGCATGCGTCACGGGGAAAGGCCATCATTCCCCGTGGCATCACGCGCAGCAGCCCTGCACCAGAACTGCAGGTGCTCCTTCCACCGCGCCCCGCTGATCACCCCATGGCACATGTGGCACGTCACGCTGCTGCCATCCGCTGATGCATCCACCACCACCTGCATGCGCCCTTGCTCTGCCAGTATGGGCGCCCGATCCACCCCATACCTTCTCTCTTGGTCCACCCCATACCTTCGCTCTTGGTCCATCCCATACCCTGCTGCCCCATTCATCCCACCACCCTGGATACTGCTCACTCCATACCTGCCTGTCTGGTCTATCCCCTCCATCCCGCCTACTCGCTGCTGCCCTCCCTCCCCCTCCCCCATGCCATCTCCCCCCATCCCCTCATCTGCTCCCCCTCCCCATGCCACCGCACTGCCCCCTCCCTGCCCTTGCCATCCCCTCTCCATCGGCCCCCCTGGAATCATTTGCCCGCTGCCAGCTGGCACTGCCACATCAGCGGTGCCGATAGCACAGCGTGCCAGCAACGCAGTGATGTCGTCGGCCCCCTGCTGCAGCTGCTGCCTGTCGTGGTGCATGGCTCTCGCTCGAGTTAGGGCTGACAGTACTGCTGCCTCCCCGCCTTGGGCTCTCAACACTGTGATGATCTGAGAGCAGGTGGCAGAGCACGGAGTGGGGAGAAGGCAGAACCAGCAGCAAGGTATGTATTGACTCCATCAATATCCCCAGCTCCAGGTGCTGCCTGTCGTCGTGGTACACGGCTCTTGCTCTTGCTAGTGCTGACAGCACTGCTCCTTCCCCGCCTTGTGCTCTTGACACTGGTACGATGTGAGAGGTGGAGGGAAGGGCAAGGGGAGAAGGCAGAGCAAGGGTCAGGGAATGAAGTGATGTCGTCGCCCCCCGCTGCCCCTGCTGCCCATTGCGGTTCATGGCTCATTTAGCGACGATGTGATGGCAGGGGAACGACACGGGTGATTGAAGAGGGAAAACGGGAGAGGGGAGAGGGGAGAGGGGAGAGGGGAGAGGGGAGAGGGGAGAGGGGAGAGGGGAGAGGGAAGAGGGGAGAGGGAAGAGGGGAGAGGGGAGAGGGGAGAGGGGAGAGGGGAGAGGGGAGAGGGGAGAGGGGAGAAGGGAGAGGGGAGAGGGGAGAGGGGAGAGGGGAGAGGGGAGAGGGGAGAGGGGAGAGGGAAGAGGGGAGAGGGGAGAGGGGAGAGGGGAGAGGGGAGAGGGAAGAGGGAAGAGGGGAGAGGGGAGAGGGAGAGGGGAGAGGGGAGAGGGGAGAGGGGAGAGGGGAGAGGGGAGAGGGGAGAGGAGGAGGGGAGAGGGGAGAGGGCAGAGGGCAGAGGGCAGAGGGGAGAGGGGATAGGGGAAAAGGGAGAGGGGAGAGGGGAGAGGGGAGAGGCAGAGGGAGAGGGAGAGGGGAGAGGGGAGAGGAGAGGGGAGAGGGGAGAGGGCAGAGGGCAGAGGGCAGAGGGGATAGGGGAAAAGGGAGAGGGGAGAGGGGAGAGGGGAGAGGCAGAGGGGAGAGGGGAGAGGGGAGAGGGGAGAGGGGAGAGGGGAGAGGGGAGAGGGGAGAGGCGGGAAGGGAGAGGGGAGAGGCAGAGGGGAGAGGGGAGAGGGGAGAGGGGAGAGGGGAGAGGGGAGAGGGGAGAGGCAGAGGGGGAGAGGGGAGGGGAGAGGGGAGAGGGGAGAGGGGAGAGGGGAGAGGGGAGAGGCGGAGGGAGAGGGGAGAGGGAGAGGGGAGAGGGGAGAGGGGAGAGGGGAGAGGGAGAGGGGAGAGGGGAGAGGGGAGAGGGGAGAGGGGAGAGGGGAGAGGGGAGAGGGGAGAGGGGAGAGGGGAGAGGGGAGAGGGGAGAGGGGAGAGGGGAGAGGGGAGAGGGAGAGGGGAGAGGGGAGAGGCGGGAAGGGAAAGGGGAGAGGGGAGAGGCGGGAAGGGAAAGGGGAGAGGGGAGAGGGGGAAGGGAAGGGGAGAGGGGAGAGGGGGAAGGGAACGGGGAGAGGGGAGAGGCGGGAAGGGAAAGGGGAGAGGGGAGAGGGGAGAGGGGAGAGGGGAGAGGGGAGAGGGGAGAGGGGAGAGGCGGGAAGGGAAAGGGGAGAGGCGGGAAGGGAAAGGGGAGAGGGGAGAGGGGAGAGGCGGGAAGGGAAAGGGGAGAGGGGAGAGGGGAGAGGCGGGAAGGAAAGGGGAGAGGGGAGAGGGGCGAGGGGAGAGGGGAGAGGGGAGAGGGGAGAGGGGGAGGGGAGAGGGAGAGGGGGAGGGGAGAGGGGAGAGGGGAGAGGGGAGAGGGGAGAGGGGAGAGGGGAGAGGGAGAGGGAGAGGGAGAGGGGAGAGGGGAGAGGGGAGAGGCGGGAAGGGAGAGGGGAGAGGCAGAGGGAGAGGGGAGAGGGGAGAGGGGAGAGGGGAGAGGGGATAGGGGAGAGGGGAGAGGGGAGAGGGAGAGGGGAGAGGGAGAGGGGAGAGGGGAGAGGGGAGAGGGGAGAGGCGGGAAGGGAAAGGGGAGAGGGGAGAGGGGAGAGGGGAGAGGGGAGAGGGGAGAGGGGAGAGGGAAGAGGCGGAAGGGAAAGGGGAGAGGCGGGAAGGGAAAGGGGAGAGGGAGAGGGGCGAGGGAGAGGGGAGAGGCGGGAAGGGAGAGGGGAGAGGCGGGAAGGGAAAGGGGAGAGGGGAGAGGGGAGAGGCGGGAAGGGAAAGGGGAGTGGGGAGAGGGGAGAGGCGGGAAGGAAAAGGGGGAGAGGGGAGAGGCGGGAAGGAAAAGGGGAGAGGGGAGAGGCGGGAAGGGAAAGGGGAGAGGGGAGAGGCGGGAAGGGAAAGGGGAGAGGGGAGAGGGGAGAGGCGGGAAGGGAAAGGGGAGAGGGGAGAGGGGAGAGGGGAGAGGGGAGAGGGGAGAGGCGGGAAGGGAGAGGGGAGAGGGGAGAGGCGGGAAGGGAAAGGGGAGAGGGGAGAGGCGGGAAGGGAAAGGGGAGAGGGGAGAGGCGGGAAGGGAAGGGGAGAGGGGAGAGGCGGGAAGGGAACGGGGAGAGGGGAGAGGCGGGAAGGGAAAGGGGAGAGGGGAGAGGGGAGAGGGGAGAGGGGAGAGGGGAGAGGGGAGAGGCGGGAAGGGAAAGGGGAGAGGCGGGAAGGGAAAGGGGAGAGGGGAGAGGCGGGAAGGGAAAGGGGAGAGGGGAGAGGGGAGAGGCGGGAAGGGAAAGGGGAGAGGGGAGAGGGGCGAGGGGAGAGGGGAGAGGGGAGAGGGGAGAGGGGAGAGGGGAGAGGGGAGAGGCGGGAAGGGAGAGGGGAGAGGGGAGAGGGGAGAGGCGGGAAGGGAAAGGGGAGTGGGGAGAGGGGAGAGGCGGGAAGGAAAAGGGGAGAGGGGAGAGGCGGGAAGGGAAAGGGGAGAGGGGAGAGGCGGGAAGGGAAAGGGGAGAGGGGAGAGGCGGGAAGGGAAAGGGGAGAGGGGAGAGGCGGGAAGGGAAAATGGAGAGGGGGAAGGGGAGACGGGAGATGGGAGAGGGGAGAAGGGGAAATGGAGACGAAGGAAGGCGTCTAAAGGGTGTCGTCATTACCAGACACCTGAAGGGTTTCACAACTAGCAAACTCACTTGGTGCACATCTAGGGACGGCTGCCCCCAGTCCACCCTCTGCCGTGCCAGCTGCAGCACAGCTGGCACGGCCAGAGTCCAGGCCGTGGGCCGAGGGCGGATTTGGATGGTGTAATGCAACCCCAGGTACTCAATCCACCGCCCGTCCCACCATTAGCAGGCTCACAAGATGCAGTGCGGCTGATGGCTGTCCCTCGTCCACCCACTGCCATGCCAGCTGCAGCATGCCCGCCCCGTCCAGGCCGTGCGGCGAGGGCGTATGGATGGATGGATGGATGGATGGATGGATGTATGGATGGATGGATGGATGGATGGATGGATGGGGTGTGATGCAACTCCAGGGGCACATGCAATTCAGCAGCCCCACCATGACACAGATGGACGCACCAGTTGCAGGGCGGCTGACGGCTGTCCCTCGTCCACCCTCTGCCGTGCCAGCTGCAGCATGCCCGCCACGTCCAGGCCGTGGGGCGAGGGGCCGCCACTAAAAGAGGGATTCGCCATAGACTGACGCAAAGGCGAAGTCCACCTTGTCAAGTTCTTTCGCTGAGTTTCCCCCCCGGCCAGAGGGCTATGTTTGTCCCTAGGGGAGTAGAAAGAGGTAGGGGAAGGACCATGAGGGTATAATAAAGGCGCCTCAAAACTCGTACGTGTTTGTCCCTAGGGGTGTAGAAGGAGATAGGAGAAGGAGCATGAGGGGCGAAATGGACACGAGGAGGTCGGCAAAAAAGGAACATGAGGACACGAGGAGCATGAGGTTATGATGCAGGGAGGGATGCAGGGAGGCCGAGGGGAGGCACGGTACCGACGGGCGAAGCAACGGAGCGAAGGGAGAAAGAGGAAAGCAGCAGAGTGAAAGGCGACGCCACGTCTGCAGACTTTACAAGACGGAGTGACCCAGCAGGCTCTGGTTACCAGCGCTTCGCCCAGCAGTCAGCCGCGGCTGGGTGAGGCGCGTGTGGGGCGCGTTTGACGCAACGGGTGAGGAGGTTTTGACGCAAAGTGAGGGGGTTTTGAGTCTCCTCAAAAGAACGAGGGGCAAGAGGCGCGAGGGCGATGACGCAACGGGTGAGAAGTGAAACGACGATCCAACCAGAAGGGAACGCGTAAGAACGGACAGCGGCGAAGGGCTGAGCGGCTGTTCGCAAGAGTAGGGCTGCCTATGCTTCTGACGACGGACTGAGGGGCTAATATTAAAGCTGAGAGAAGCGACTGAAGAACAAATCACTGATTCTAGTAAGGCCGCGTACGCAGTCTGCACCTGGCGAATAGGCAGGCGATCCGTGACGCTCCGCTGCTGCAAGAGGACTGATCACTGATCTTGAAGATGACGACAGACTGAGCAGACCTGCCGCCAAAATATTCCTGGGAGTGCGTGGATGCGGAAATTAGGGTGGTGCTATGCTCGGTGTAGGAGATTCCTCCATCATGCCTCTTCCACAAGGCCTTCTACAAGTGCCCGCGGAATTTTCCAGGTTAGGTTCAGATGACTCTGAGGGCACTTCTAAGCACGAGTGTCTGTCCGTCCTAAGCGCGCCAAGCCCGAGAAAGGAAAAGCGGGAAAACAGTCGATTAGTGGAGGAAAGTACATCGGCGGTCAGTATTAGGGTCCCCGCTATTACGTACGGTCAGTGGAACGCTATAGACAATCAGAATTAGTGAGTTCGTCACACAGCTAGTCAGTCGGGTTCCACGGTAAGTCAGTGACTGCTGGTTAACATTTCTACGAATGGTCAGTAGACGTAACCCCCACTCATTTTGGGCAGTTTTCCCGCTCGCGGCAGCCCAACAACCAAACGACTGTAATAATTGCGAGGGCGATATTTTTTTCGCGCCAGCCTGGCGCTGCACATTTCGCACACTCCAACCCTCGGTACTGTATATTTCGCCCTCACTCCAATGCTTGGTACTGTACATTTCGCCCTCGCTCCAACACTTGGCATTGTATATTTCGCCCTCACTCCAATGCTCGGTTCTGTACATTTCGCCCTCACTCCAACGCTTGGCACTATACATTTCGCCCTCACTCCAATGCTTGGCACTGTACATTTCACCATCGCTCCAACGCTTGGCACTGTACATTTCGCCCTCACTCCAATGCTTGGTACTGTACATTTCGCCCTCGCTCCAATGCTTGGTACTGTACATTTCCCTCGCTCCAACACTTGGCATTGTATATTTCGCCCTCACTCCAATGCTCGGTTCTGTACATTTCGCCCTTGCTCCAACGCTTGGCACTGTACATTTCGCCCTCACTCCAATGCTTGGTACTGTACATTTCGCCCTCACTCCAATGCTTGGTACTGTACATTTCGCCCTCGCTCCAACTATCGGTACTGTACATTTCGCCCTCACTCCAACACTTGGTACAGAACATTTCGCCCTCACTCCAACTGCAGGTTTAGATCGCGATTGGGTGAGGTCCTTCACGGATCAGAAGGATCTCTCCGAATTCTAAAATGGTTGGGTAGGGTTTTCACAAAAGGCATACGCCCTGCCTCATTCCTCCCTCTCGTTACTCCCTCCATCTCCTCCATCCAGCCCATTCACTTCGAGTTTTGGAGTGAGGGTTGGAGTGGGCGAAATGTGCAGCGCTAGGCTTGCGCGAAAAAAATCTCGCCCCTCGCAATTATTACAGTCGTTTGGTTGTTGGGCTGCCGCGAGCGGGAAAACTGCCCAAAATGGGCGGGGGTTACGTCTACTGACCATTCGTAGAAATGTTTACCAGCAATTACTGACTAACCGTGGAACCCGACTGACTAGCCGTATGCCGAACTCACTAATTCTGATTGTCTATAGCGTTCTACTGACTGTACGTAATAGCGGGGACCCTAATACTGAGCGCCGATGTACTTTCCCATTAGTTGATGACTAGCCAGGCGAAGCCATTAGGCTCTTCAAACCCGCGGCGAAAACCTTGAGCGACGACAGAAACAGATACCAGCGATACAAAACAAATTCGCGACATTGTTATGAATGGGACTGCCGAGTAGCGCGGAGGGCAATGGCGAAACTGTGAACGAGTGAATGACAATAGAATGAAAGACAACACAATATATAGAAAGCCTAGGGTGATCCTGGACGTAGGATCGGAAAGTTCGGGAAAAGTGTCGAAGGGCCTCGATGTGTCGAAGCGAGGTCCGGAAAGGCCCAGGAGGCTCGAACTGAAAGGTCTGGAACCCTATCGCTGGTTCAGGACTGTTCGAGTCGTACGCCCTGTAGCAAGCCTCAGTAAGGAATATCTAATTCCTTACAGACATCAACCCTAAGTTACGTGGGCGAATTGCAAGCCGCGGGAGTTATGAATAATTACAGAGAGTGCGCGTCTTATGAATGAACAAGCAGAGTAGCGCGGAAATAAATAAACATTGAATGTCTGGAGAAGGTCTGGAGAAGCCGAGGCGGTTCCGTTAGAAAGGTCCGGAACTGTCTCGAGGCTTCAGGTGTATTCGAGTGTACGCGATAGCAGCACCGCTCGGTAAGGAATGGAGAATTCCTTACTGCGCGAAATAATAATGACGAGAACAAGAATGAGAGCCTAGTACTATATAGCGAGAGCCATAGCTAGGCGAGGACCCCGGAGGGCTAGTTTGGGTACAGGCGCGGTCGAAAGGGCCGAAGGCGGCGCAAGCCAGCCTCGGGATTGCGTCGGAATCGGACCAAGCCTGGTCTTCCGTGAGTTTGGGTGTACGCGATGCTGTACCGTGACGCTTATAAGCGCTGCCATTTAATTAGCGCCATGAAGCTCATAAGGTAATAAGTTTTTGGCTTACAATTTTACTCGATTACAAGCGCCCCCTCCATTTTCCAAAAGATATTTCCTAAAAGCGCCCCTTCTCTATTTGAAAACACGGCAACGAGAGGTGGAAACGCCCGCATGCTATGGCGAATTCCTCAGCGAGAACATTTCTTGTGCTGCAAAAGACTAGGGGACCGGCTGGGGAGGACTTCGCTCACTCAAGGACCTCCCCCAAAAGCCTCGCCAGCACTTGCCGTAGCTCGCGCTTGCGTCACTGCTGCTGACAGTAAGGTTTAGTAACGCCTACCAAGCCTACAATTACAGTGGCGGAAAAAAATTGCCCGGATGTTTAGCACTTTGAAACTTATCGCTATGCCACACTTGTTTTGAAAATAGTGACACCTTTTTTTTCCCGTCCTGTTACAAGGTTGTCGAGTTATGCTTCAACCGTATCTTGCTAGGCGCGATTGTGACACAACCGAAAAGCGGGGTTGAGATTTACTCCTCGGCTGTCGTTCCGGACAGTTCATACCGAGCGACGTTCAAGATCTATTTTCGCCCGTCACTCGGTGTGTACATCGTCTCGCGCAACAGCTGCTAGTCTAGGAGTTAGTCCTGAAGCGAACCTACGACCGCATCGTGATGAAGCCGGTAGATGACAAGAAGCGCGCGCGAATCATAAGCATGTTGCGCAAAGGGCATTCAATTAGGAAAATAGCCAAAGTTCTTGGCATAGGCAAGAGCACCGTGCACGATTACGATATGAAGGTGATTGCCGAGACTAGTCGCAATGAGATGCGACCCACGATGCCCACGGCCGGCCGCCCCCGCTTAATCACAACCCGACTCCAATGCGGAATAGTTCGAGCGATTACATGCGGCGAGGCGAAAAGCAGTGTAGACGCGGCAAAGATGTTGCAGGAGAAGCACGATCTGGCTGTAAACTCGAAGACGGTCAGGAACGCGTTACAATCCGCGAGCTTGATCGCCGTGTAGCAGCCCAAGAAACCCAGGCTCTCACCGAAAAACATACGTGATCGTCTCGATTTCGCGAGGTCGCATGCCGACTGGACGCTGGAGGACTGGAAGCAAGTGATTTGGTCTGATGAGACTAAGATAAAGCGTTTCTGCTCCGACGGACGTGCGTACGCCTGGATTCGCGAGGGCACCAGCCTCCAGAGCCATCAAGTCCAACAGACAGTTAAGCATGGGGGCGGTTCTGTGATGGTGTGGGGTTGCATGACGTATGAGGGGGCGGGGTTCATGTGCAAGATAGATGGCAGGATGGATGGGCCGCTGTATCGCAGCATCTTGTTAGATGAGCTCAAACAGACCATCGATTTTTTCAAGCTCCCCCCCTCAGAGGTCATTTTCCAGCACGACAATGATCCCAAGCACAGGTCCCGTCTAGTCCAAGACTGGCTTGGGGAGCAGGAGTACGCGGTGCCGGAATGGCCCTCGTCCTCTCCGGACCTTAACCCGATAGAGCACCTATGGGCACACTTGAAAAGGCAGCTGTCGACGTAGGAAAAACCACCTAATGGAATGCTGGAGCTGTGGGAGAGGGTGTAGGAGGAATGAGAAAAGATACCGGCGGAGGTGTGCTCAAACCTCATCAACAGTATGCCGAGGAGGATCAAGGCAGTGATTCGCGCAAAGGGACGCTGGACTAGGTACTAGTTTTTCAAGAATCTAGTTTGCTGCCTGTCCATGGTACAAATTGCCAGGATGTGCTCTTATGATATGCTTAGGTGTTTAAGGACCATGTATTGTACTACTCACGTATTTGTTGACTTGAATGAGTGCTCTAAGTGATTTTCTCAACGTGTATGCACACCATAAATTAAGGCTTAAAGTTTACGCCGCTGCACTCATCAAAATGCAAAAAAAGACTGAACATCTGGACAACTTTTTCCGTCACTGTGTATAACTTATATAATTTAACACACCCCCTAGGCTTGGTAGTAGAAGAACCCACACACACCCACACCCCCTAACATAGCACCCCCATTCCTAGTAGCAGCCACGACTACTCCGGCATGGCCAACCCCACAGCCCGCGAGATGGCAACGGCTGCAACGGCGGAAGTGACGACAGCGGCGTGCGGTGGCAACAGGCCAGCGGCAACAGTGGCGTCTTCGACGGCTTGGATGACAGCGGCGGCGGCATCGGCCCCCGCCCTTTCGGCGGCGTGGCCAAGCTCTGCGACAGTGGGACGGTCGGTGGGAGTCAGGCGTCGGCTGTGGCGAGGAGGAGGGGGGGGTGGCGAGGTCCAGCATCACGCCCGTGGCTGGCGTGCAGGCTGCAGGTCTAGCGGTGCCACAGGCATTGCGCGGCCAGCTGCAGCCCGACGATGCTGGCACTGCAGCATTACGACGCCGCCAAAGCGCAGGGTCGATGCCGCGACCGCGCGTCAGAGCTGCAACGGCAGCCACACTAAGCCGCCATGGCAGCTTGAAAAGGCCGCCACGACGACACAAAAACGGCGACGAACGACGAACGAGTACGTGGCGGAAGCATGGGGAGCAGGCTCGGGAAGGGCAACCCGCTCTGATACCATGTTATGAAGTGAGCTAGCAAGGAAGGGAAGGCGCCATGAAAATGGCGTGAGGGTTTAGCCAGGAGATGAGTTGACGAGAGAAAAGAGATCGAGAATAAAAGAGAGAGGGATACAAGGAGGGGTGTTGAACCCTCTTCATTAAGGTTCAGTAACGCCTACCAAGCCTACA